CATATAGCCGACAGAGATATCAATCCCTGTCTTCTGAATAATGCAGAACAGTGGCAAAGCCAGGAGAACTAGGCCCACTAACTTCCATTATCAAAAGCCTGGGCCTGGGCACAGTGGAGGAAGAGGGTTTGTTCCTACCTCATTAAACTGCATCCACAGCTGTAGAGACCTTGGGTTTTAAGAGAACCAAGACAGGTTATTATTGCCCTTGGTCTGTCCCAACCTCTACTTGCAAAAGCAAAAATAACTAAAGGGGAGGGGAAGGGAGAGGAGGGAAGGGAAGGCACCCAACTCTGCTCCTTTCCCTTCCCCTTCTCCCCCGCCCACTCCTGTCCCTGACTCAACAGTGTGGAATCCCAGGGACCATACCCTAGCTGGCCTTTAGCCTCAGTCTGCTCTGCCCTTTAGCCTCTTCTTGAAGAGGAGTGCAGAAACAGAGGCTTCATTAGAGAAGGAGACCTAGACCAGCAGAGCAAAATCATAACATTACACACCAAGGGGGACCAACAACAACCCACTGGTCGAAGCACCTTGTGGCACAGCTGAGGAAACAGAACCCCAGGGAGGGACAGGGGCCCACCTGCCCACAGCCACGCAGCCAGCCAACAGCAGACAAAGACCAAAAGTCAAGAAGCGGGGTCTCTCTTCTTTTCTAAACTTCCATTTGCCATTCTAAACTGGGATAACAAACCCAGCCTGGATGCCACTTAAAAACTGTACAGTAAGGTATAGATGTAGTATGGAGTTATCTTTTCCAATGGTTTGAGAGTTGGGGGTTGGGGGAAGACCGAGGTGGGGGCAAGAACACTGAGGACTTTCGGAGGACGCATCCAGTTCATTTTTCTAGCCTTCCCCCAGAGGCCCAGGCCACAGAGCAGAGAAGGAGGGTATTAAATATCAGAGAGTTATTTAAAAGCCAGTTGCCTGCCCCTCAGAAGAAGCACTGGCCTCTGCTGACTCAACAGAGTAATGAATCTTGGGCCTATGGATTTTCCTGTGTCTCATGGCAGTGGGGGGAGGGGAAGGGGAGTGAGAAATGGAAATGGCAAGGCCCACAGTGAAGTTTCCGGTCCCTGCTGGCAAGGAAGCCAAGCAAGAGGAGAGAAGCTGGGGCCTCCCCCACTATCTCGTGGCTGAGTTCATCATGTCAGGCTGCCTGCTGTGCCTCCATTTGCCTCAGAGGAGGGGGAAACAGAGGAATGGGTAGGCAGCAGGAGGGGTGCCAGGACAGTCTGGATCTCAGGATGCTACAGCACCCACCCTGGAAGGACCCCAGGCCACCCCTACCACTTTCTAGTCAGGTAACCAAGGCCTTAATTGGGGTGGTGCCAATTCAAGGTCATATACTGAGAAGGTGGGGGCACCAACTTGGTCCAATTCCAGTATGACTTTCCCCTCCCTGGTCCCCATCCCTAAAAAGCCAAGGGGGACAAGATTACCAGTCCTCCCAAGACCATCCCATCCACATACTTTTTTGCAGACAAGGAAACTGAGGTGTGTCCAATGACTTTAATAATATTGAGACACCTCTGATGACAAAACAGAGCTGGAGAAGGAGCTACCTGCTGGGTGATCTTAGGGACATCATCACACGTTGTGCTCTCTACTAAGGCTTAATGGAACTTACTGAGAGCATGGTCTGTGCCAGCAGAAAAGGCCCAGTGAAGGCGCCAGAGATTTAGACAGGGACAACACATTGAAATGCTCAGGGAGGGGCTCTAGGACCTAGTGGAGTAATAAATTCAAGCACGGAGATCCAGTGTGGCTGACATGGGGGATCCTCATCTGGGCACAGGGCAGATGATCACTCTGCTGGGGTGCGGAGGGGTGCCTCGCTTTTTCCGAGTCCTAAGGAAACCCTGAGGGTGTGAGCTTTGTCCACAGGCTCCCCTGGGATCTGACCCAGCCACACTCCCAGGAGAGAGGGATCTTGGGGGGGGGGTGCTGCAGCAAAGGAGATGAGCAAGAAACCTGAGCTTCTATTGGGCTCAGGTCCCAGTCAGCTGTGCCAGCTTGTGGAAAGCACTTAACCTTTCTGGGTGCCTATCTCCTGGTGTGATGTATAGATGAGGATCCTCACCGAGCTTGCCTCACAGGGGTGGGAGGCTCAAGCCACAGATTTTTAAATCATTATTTCATTCAGCAGATGTTTTCTGGTCCCTTTTCTGTACTGAGCCCTGAGAAATTAGGTGAGTTCTGAGCCCCAGTTGCTGAGAGTCAAGAGGATCAGGGGAGTCTTAGCCTTCTGATTGATAAATTAAGTTCAAAGAATGGAGAAGGAAGCCATGAGGGCTTTCTGAAGGGGACAAAACTCACAAGTCCTGAGGGACAGTGGCCTGGACTGGAGAAACAGAATCAAGAGATGAGCATCCCGGCTGGGGCAGACAGTCCAAGAAAACAGACTTCCACCAGATGCATCAGAGAATAAACACACAGCCTCAGACTCAAGTGAACACACATTTATTGTACACTTAACGCATACTGAACAGTGGCAAATCCAAGATAGAGAGTACTGTTTCTCCCAAGAACAGAGATCCCTCAGCCCCAAACGGCTCACAGACTTGGTTCCTTGGGGAACAAGGAGAGAAATTGGTTTCAGGAGAATTTAGAAGGGAAACACCTACATAAAGTGGAAAGAGAAGAGAGAAGGCTGGGTAGAGGCCACAGAGAGATAAGCAGAGACTCATTTTATTAACATCCACCATGCATTTGCTGTGTTGGGGAAGCAAAGAACATGGAACAGGGAAAAACAGCACGGGAGCTCATTAGTCCCAGAGATGGGAAATGCCTTATCCAGGGTCTGGCAGGATGGGTGCTAGGCCCCGACACCCAGGTGAAAGGGTTTTTCTTGTCCTGAAGCACTTTCAATTCACTTTATCATGACAGCCCTGAGAGGAATAAGAACAGGAATTCATAGCCTATCTACCTTATAGAACAGGAAGGTGACAGTCCAAGACTGAGAGAGGCCTGAGTCACACCAGACTAACCTTGGCATCCATTCCCAGCCTCAGCTTCTTGGGGTCAGGATGAGACTTCCCTGCGGTGCAGGATTCTCTCAGATGCAGCCCACCATCTTGAACAGAGTCCTGGGCAAGGACCCTGGGACCGGTTTTCTAGGCTAAACCTTGAAACCTTGACAGGGTCCTTGGGGCCCCTCTGGCCTATTTCCCCATTTGTGCAATTCAGAGGCCATTTGCCTTATTCTCTGGCACCTGATGATTCTAAATTCTCTCCAGGCCTTATTTCCCCAAATGAGGTGTCAAGCACTCATCAATCAAGGCTGCCTGTGGCCTGCAGCTCCTTTCCTGGGAGGGCATCAGCCAATCTGAAGCCAGCCACCACGGGGGCCTAGGAAAGGAGCTCTGGTCTTGGCAGTGGTCTGTGATTCCTCAGGGGCTGGAAGCAGACAAGGAAACAGAGACTGTTCTGTTCATTCGCTCTGTCATTTGTTCACAAGTATTCACTACTTCACTCTCTTGTGCTAGTCCCTGTGCTGGAAACATAAAGGTGAAGAAGACCCAGTGCCTCCTACTGGGGAGATGTCAGAGCTGGGGCATGCTGCTGCTGTGTGGGCTAGGTTTAGGGGAGTGCTATAGCTGGGGGCCCAGCCCCAATAGCATCTACTTGAGCACGTGTGCCCATGTGAGAAAAGACATCACCAGCCTGTTACCTCCACAGATCAAGGGCATAGTACAGGGCCGGAGGAGTAGGGTCTGACTGTGCTAGCCAATCTCTGAGTGCCTATGCTTGGCATGGCTTATGCATGGGCCTGTAAGCTTGCCCTCTGAGAATGCACCCAGGAATCTGCATGGGCTCAGAAGTGTGCATATTCAAACATGTATGTGTTTATGAATCTATGGACACATGCCAGGACATATTCAAAGCTATCATCCTATGTGCACATGTATAAATGAGTCTGCATGGACTTGCATGAGGCACATCTGAGCTCTCATACCTGGGAGAGTTATGACAGGGGTAGCGAAGAGAGAGCGTTGGGAGAAGGGGAGAGGTGGGGAACACCCACCATCACCAGCCCTGCTCCTTAATGTTGGTCCCTGCCCAAGACCCAGGCCACTGCAGGGTCTGCCTCTTCTCCTTAAGTGGTATTGATCCTTTGGTCGATCTGTTAAATATAACCTCAGGGAAGGAGTCAACGCAACAACCGTCCCCAATTCAGGAGAAAGAGACTGATTCTTGGGAGGAGGGGGGAGCCTCTATCCCAACCAGCTCTGCTGATACCCGAATGGCCTACGGATCAAGTGTCAGCCTCTCTAGCCTGAATAATTCATGCCAAGGCCAGGAATGCTCCCTTCTCAGGAGCCTGTCTCTTTAAATCAGGTTTGGAGCTTCCTAGTTCTTGGGGGAAATAAAAAAATCCAGAACAAAACAAATCTGTAAACAGCTCAGCCCCCACCTCAGCCCTGCCCCTTCTGGGACCTTCAACTCCAAGCTGCAAAATCTGCTCCTGCTCTCTCAACCTCTGGTGCCCCAAACCCCACTCACAGGTGAAGCCTGGAGGGACTGGTTGATGGTGCCCAATGGAACCCCAGGGGTCTAAGAGGTTTGGGGGCAGGGAATGAAAGCAAAGAGCAGAATCATTACACCCCTGGTCCCTGTGCCTAGGACAGTGCTTGGCAGAGGAGTCCAGCTTGGTGGAGCAAACCATATGAGGGAACTCTTGGCAGAGGCAGAGCAGCCAGAGTTGGTGGGTGGGAGGGGAACGGGGGCCACAGACTTCTCCTAAGAGTGGGATGGGACGGGACGGGACGGGACGGGATGGGATGGGATGGGATGGGATGGAGAAAAAGCTGGTCCCACAGCTCCTGCAGGGGTGGTGACACAGCCAGGTCTAATGGAACTAGGGTCACAGAGGAGGAAGTAGAGGCTGGGGATTTTCCAGTCTCTCTCTGATTGGAGATTAGGAAAAGGCTGGAAAATCAGTAACTTTTCTCAGCCACCCCTCATCCCTGCCTCCTGTAGTAGGGGCAGCTCTAAAGTCCTCCCCAATTCCGGAATTCTCCCTGGTGGTTACCCACCTGCCTGCTCTCCCCAGCCGGGCCCCGCCCCACACGTGCCAGAGAGGGAGGAGGAAAGGCCCAGCTTAAATGTCCGAGGTGGAGGTCGGGGGAAGGGAAAGCAAGTCGGAGCCTCCGGGAGCCAAACTTCTCGGCAGCCTGAGAGGGTGAAGAGAAAACGCAGCAGCCGAGAGCCCTGATTCTCGGGAGCCTCCCACTTCGCCTCCCGCAGCGAGGAGGGCGCAGAGACTCCGCTGGGGGCGGAGGAGGAGGCCGGGAGGCGGGGAGGGGGGAGGCAAACCCTGCCCACTCGGCTCCGAGCCCAGGCGGCCGCGGAAGTCGGAGGCCGGCGCACAGGGCGAGGGCACCGGGGGCGGGGGGCTCCGCTCCCCATCTGACCCCTCTCGCCCCCGGCCAATCAGCCAGTAAGTGCGGCTCCGCGGACTTTCGGGACAGCGAACAGACCGACAGGGACTGCCAGCCGCTCCGGGTCAAGGACTCGCCCCACCCGTGCCCCCCACCAGGCGCTCCCAACTCACTGGTGAGCGCGGCCGCCCAGGCGCTGGATGCGGGGACGGCCACGATGGCCCCGCGCGCGGGACAGCCGGGGTTCCAGGGGCTGCTGATCGTGGCGGCGGCCCTGAGCCAGCCCGCGGCACCCTGTCCCTTCCAGTGCTACTGCTTCGGCGGCCCCAAGGTGCTGCTGCGCTGCGCGTCGGGCGCCGAGCTCCGCCAGCCTCCACAGGACGTGCCACCCGACGCGCGCAACCTCACCATCGTGGGCGCCAATCTAACGGTGCTGCGCGCGGCCGCCTTCGCCGGCGGGGACGCGGACGGGGACGGAGACCAGGCGGGCGTCGTGCGCCTGCCACTCCTTAGCGCGCTGCGCCTCACGCACAACCACATCGAGGTGGTGGAGGACGGCGCCTTCGACGGGCTGCCCAGCCTGACGGCGCTCGACCTCAGCCACAACCCGCTGCGCGCCCTGGGCGGCGGCGCCTTCCGCGGGCTGCCCGCGCTGCGCTCTCTGCAGCTCAACTACGCGCTGGTGCGGGGCGGTCCCGCGCTGCTGGCCGCGCTGGACGTCGCGCTGGCCCCGCTGGCCGAGCTTCACCTGCTGGGCCTGGCTGGCAACGCGCTGAGCCGCCTTCCGCCCGCCACGCTGCGCCTGGCGCGCCTGGAGCAGCTAGACGTGCGCTTCAACGCGCTTGCCGGCCTGGGCCCCGACGAGCTGCGCGGGCTGGAGCGCTATGGCGGCCTCTCAGGGCCGCGCCTGCTGCTCGCCGACAACCCCCTGCGCTGCGGCTGCGCCGCGCGCCCCCTGCTGGCCTGGCTGCACAACGCCACGGAGCGCGTGCCCGACGCGCGGCGCCTGCGCTGCGCCGCTCCGCGGGCGCTCCTGGACCGGCCGCTGCTGGACCTGGACGGGGCGCGGCTGCGCTGCGCGGACAGCGGCGCCGACGCTCGCGGGGAGGAGGCCGAGGCCGCCGGCCCAGAGTTGGAAGCCTCCTACGTGTTCTTCGGGCTGGTGCTGGCGCTCATCGGCCTCATCTTCCTCATGGTGCTCTACCTAAACCGCCGCGGCATCCAGCGCTGGATGCGCAACCTGCGCGAGGCGTGCCGGGACCAGATGGAGGGCTACCACTACCGCTACGAGCAGGATGCAGATCCGCGCCGCGCGGCAGCGCCCGCCGCGCCCGCCGGCTCCCGCGCCACCTCCCCGGGCTCCGGGCTCTGAGCGGCTCCCCCGGGCTCGGGACTACCCCTGCCTGGCCCGAAGCCGTGGAGATGAGACGCCCGCAAGCCCGGAGCTTGGAGACCTTCCCCCGACTCGGAGGCTCTAAGCTGTACCCTCTCGTCCCGGTCTCCGAGAGCTCCCACCGTCAAAGACCCAGAGATAGCCCGTCCGAATCCAGAAACTCCTCCCGCCCACCCTAGTTTCTGAAACCTCCCTCCTGGACCACCCAAAGTACGTTCCCCGTCTCGGGGCTCACACAGAGACTCTGTCCTTCAAGCCCAGAGCTCTGAGACCTGCCCCCACCCCCCTGTGCTTGGAGTCCCAGCACCCGAGACTGCCCAGACCCCCACCGCCAGTTCGGAGCCCTCAGTCCCCTCCGGGGCTCCTGGGCCCTCCCATTCCATTCTGGTCTCGAAGCACAGCACCCCCATTAGGAGGGGTTTGTGCACTCCATCCTACATGGAGGCCGAACGGTGGGGCTCAGAGGATTGGGCACCCTCCCCTCATCTGATGATATATTAAGTACCCCTGCCTCCCCCTTCACCCACCCCTGCCTCTGGCTCAGGGCCTCCCTTCCTCCGCCCAGGCATGGGGGCATGGGGCTCAGCTCCTAGTCTGTCTCTCCCATCCCAGGGACAAGCACACCCCGTCTAGCCTCAGTATGGAGCCGACTCTTACTCAGCCTTTCCCACCGGGGCGCTGACCTCCCGATACCCAGTGCCTGTCCCCAGTCTCAAACTCTCAGCTCTTCATCCCGCCCAAGGTTTAGGCTCTTGGCTCCCCTATTGCCAATGCTGGCACTCAGCACCCACCCCTGCCATTCACTAGTGAAGGTGCAGTGAGCAATCTGTCCCTGGGATGTCCTCATCCCCTTTTCCTCCCAGGACGAGCTTTTCAGTCCTGCCAGACAGGTGCAGGTGCCATGCACCCCCAGTGCATACTGGCAGATCCTTGTGGGGAAGGAGAGAGGCTTGGGTGTGTGAAAGGGATAGCGAGGTATCATGGCCTCGGAGAGGGGCAGGGAGTGAGCTCTGAAGGGCTGGAAGCTCCTGCCCTCCGATTTCTCCTTGCTCTTTCCTACCATGTGGCTCTTTGCCCCTGGGGATTCCTTGCCGCTGCCGCTGCCACCACCACCACCTCACCCCGTGTATCTTCTGGAAGAGAAGGGGGTCTTGCCTCCTGCCTCAGGTACAAGCCCTCTTGGTTCGGGGTCAGAACCTCATCACCCTGCCTGCTCCAATATCCCAAAGCACAATTGGTGAGTGGGGGAGACACCCCCTCTCCCTGACTCCCCACTCCCTAGGTGAGGCAGAATGGCTGGCCCGTGCAGCGTCTGCACACAGGAAGTCACCCTTCCTTTAATATATTGGCGTGAAGCCTGCCTTCCTTCCCCCTACCCAGAAAATCTGGATCTCCCCCGAGCAGTTTTCTATAAAGTCTGCAATAATCTCAGATACTCTACTCTTGTAAGTGGGGCTGTATCATTCCTGCTTACCTTGGGGGACTGATGGGGATGGGAGGGGACTCTTGGGAGGGCATTTTGGACCTCTCTGTGGTGGGGTAGTGACCCTGGATGTGCTCTCCCAGACTGTGGGAGAAGAAATGGGCTCTGATTGCACATAGCAGGATTAAGGTTAGCTACATGGAGGGACTGCCCATTGGGATGACATTGTTCCCCACACCACCCTGCTCTCTATTGTTGGAGGAGGGGTTATGCAAGCCAAAATGGGATTCGACACCTCCTCTACATCCTCTTCCCTTCCATTCCTCATCTTCAGGGTGGGGATGGAGTTAGACCAACAAACATTAGCCTCAGCCAAGGCCATCCGGGAGGAAATCCAGCTACAGAGAATGAGAAGTTAATTCAGACAGGAAAGAAGAGGGATTGTTTGCTGCTTTGGGATCAACGTCTCTGATGAATTATCAGATAAGCTCCTATGTCTCGTGTCATGTCACACTCTCCTGGCCAGAGGGTAAGACCTGCATATTGGGTATGTGAGAGGCTGTGAGGTGGGGGTGTGGATGAAATGACTCCTTGAGATATATGAAGCAGGGGTCTGGTGGGTTCTGGGCCAGGAGGACCTCCAGGTCCCCAGGCTGGATTATTTCGCTTTCAGGGTCACAGAGCCGAAAACCATAGGGCAAAAGCCTAGAATTCTGGCATTATCTAATTTTAGGGCCATATAATTCTAGAATGTGTGCCTTCTAACTATTGAAAAGTACTACAGAGGTAATGTGGGATGCCGTCTGAGCATCTCAATTGGAGGCATCGTCTCATGATGGGAGGCCTGCTCCCTCCCCTCCTTTCAGTGTCCCAGGAGCCTGCCTGGGACTCCCTGACAGCCCCAGCTTTGCCATGGGGCCAGGAGCACCCCTCAGCCCAGGACCATTCTTCACAATTCAGAGACCGTGCATGGGGCTCCTTGTCTTTTCCTGGCATGCTCCCTACGGCTTCTCCCAGTCATTTTTCATGAGAAAGGATTAAGTTCTCTTGACAAAGTCCCATCTGTCAATGACCTTCAAAGGGTGCCCGGCAGTCCCCCAGGACAATATAGTGATGGTATCTCTAATGCAAGTTAGAGCATGTTAGTTGATTTTTTATAACTATTGATTAAATTCTTAGTTTAGCAGTAGCACTCATAAAAGCCTCAAAGATTTTTGCTGACAACAAGCCTATAGCTAATAGCAGGTTTTATTTGCCAGACTTCCCAGAACTTACTGTGATCTTAAGCTACATTACCAGAGAGCACATCTTTGAAACTGAGGAGGTGATCTGTACATCTGTAGGTCTCTTCAGCTCTAAAGATGTATATGAGACCTACTGCTAAGACATATCAAATCAGTAGTCATCAAAAATCAACTAATTGAGTGTCTACTGCAGGCCAGTTGGTGTTTAACCTTAGTATCATTCACTAATCCCCATTAAATATCTTCTCTGGGCTGCCATCCTCCTTGCTGTCTGTCAGCAGCCTTTAGCCTTATGGGGCTACCAACAAGGCCCAGGGCCCCCAGCTTCACCTCTTCTACAAACCCAGCCATTCACTCAGCCCTTACTGAATGGAACTGTGCCAGTCCTAGAAAAGTTAACAATCCAGGGAAGGAATCACAAGTAATCAACATCTGGAGAAAAGAAATCCCATGAAATAATGAGAGCTCAGAGTAAGAGCCCTGACCCCACCTAGACAGACTTCTTAGAGGAAGTCATATTTGAACTGGGTTTTGGCAGATGAGTAGAAGTTTGCTGAACAGAGAAAGATCAGAAGTACCAACTTCTGCAAAGGTCTGGAGGCAGGAAGATCTTGTTAGTCTGAGGATTGAAGGCTAACAAAGGCTGGGGGGTAGGTGGGAGGACCTACTACGTTCACCACATTCTCCACTGGGAAGCACCAGAGGGACCTCTGCCCTCGGAGGAAAAGTCAGGAAGGTAGAGAGATGTGAGAGGTGTGATGGGGGAGGGGTTGGAGGCAGGGAGCTGCACTGCGCCTCCCGCTTGTGAAGCCTGGTTGTTCCTTCCTTCTGCCCATCCTTTTAGTGCGTGGCCTCATACTGGGCACTGGAGACACAGAGAGGAATCAGATCAAAGCCGTGGCTAGATGGCAGAGAGAAGGGAAAGGGAGGGGTCCCGGAGAAGCCTTGCAGGAAGAAGTGAGATGGGGCATCTTGCTGGCCCTGCCCAGACTCCCTGACATCATTCACTCCGGTCTCTCTCTCAGAGGTGCCAGGGCCCCACTAAATGGCTGGCTTCTTCCTCTAATCACACACTGGGGGTGCTGCTGGAGTGTGAGGTGGGCAGAGGCCCAGAGATCTGGGGCCTGCCTGCAGAAGCCAAATGATGGAGGGAGAAATCTATCTCAAGGCTGTCCCCTTAAAGAGCAGGCATAGCAGACAGCAGGAGAGGACAGATGTGTGTGACTGTAGGAAACATGGGAGACATGAAACCAGCTGCACACCTGGAGGAACGGGGCAGACTTCCCAGGTTCCGTGACCTCATGAACACATGAAATTGCCTCTCAAAGACGTCTCCTTGAGAAGTCTTTCACTTCCAAGCCCCCGTGCCTACTTGCACCCTCAGATCTGGGGTGGGAACCAGGGAGGACCTAGCTAGAGTCGGGAGGACTGGGTTTGAGTCTGAACTCAGCACCTCACTCCTCACTTGCCATGACACCTGATCCTTAGCCAGAAATACTGGTTGAGACCCTACTATGTGCCAGGGTCTGAGGATTCAGCAGTGACTACCGCAGAACTGGCCCCTGCCTTCCTGGCCCATCCTGACACTGTGGCCTCGGACACCCCTGCCTGCCTCTGGCTCCAGGTTCCTTCTGTCCGGGCTGGGGCTGGACCTGTGACCTCTGGAGGCACTGCCTACTCTCCCTGAAGTCCATCTCCTTCTTCATTAAGCCACTGCCTGGCAGACTCTCAGCCCTAATTTATGGGTATGGCCTTTCCCAGACTAGGAAAAGTGATGGGGGCAGTTAATATTCCTGTGCTAATAATGCACTTGGCTGCCTTCAGAGTCCTCTCTCCACCCCTCACCCCTGCCTCACTACCCCCACCTGCTTCCCTCAGCACTGCCACAGGGTGATTTTCCAGGAGCTGGCCAGGCCCATGCAGACCCTCAATTAACCCTTCATTGAATGGGTGGAGAAACTGAGGCTGAGAGCCTGCAGGAGGCCATCCAGGTTACACAAGTTGTCAGGAATAGATCCCGAGCCCAGGACACCCAGGGCTGCCCTTGCTATGCCCTGGGTCTGAGCATATGGCAGAGCCACCCCACCTCCTAACTTGCTATCTCAATGCATCCAGGAGCCAGCTCCAAGCCTGTGGTAGCCTGCAGATGAAAACAAGGAAGGGAGCCGTGGAGGGCTGGAAGGACTCTTCAGCCTGTTAGCGGCTCCCAGCAGGCCTCAGGAGCCCTATACCAGCATCTTGCAAGCAGCAGCCCTGCTGAAAGTCATATCTACCCTCCCTGAGAGGAGAAAGGGGTTTGTCTGAAGCCCCAGGCTCTGAGGTCCCGGGCATTAAACTCATTGTTCCTGAGCGTCTGTCATCTGAGCACAGGGCTCATCCGGATGAACCGGATCTTGTTCCTGTTCTCAATCAATATGGTGACCACACAGGTCACTGTGATCATGGAAACACAGGGGAGACTCCTAACTTAGGGGATCATCCAAGCTGGCAAACTTGGGAGTGAAAGGGGCCACTATTAATTATTGCAATTGAGCAAGAGTAAACTAGGACTACCTGGGCATGGTGGCTCATGCCTGTAATCCCAGCACTTTAGGAAGCCAAGGCGGGTGCATTATATGAGGTACTGAGTTCCTGAGATGGAGACCAGGCTGACCAACATGGTGAAACCCTATCTCTACTACAAATACAAAGAAGTAGCTGGGTGTGGTGGTGCATGCCTGTGATCCCAGCTACGTGGCAGACTAAGACAGGAGAATCACTTGAACCAGGAAAGGGAGGTTGCAGTGAGCTGAGATCATGCCATTGCACTCTAGCCTGGGCAATGAGCAAAGCTCCGTCTCAAAAAATATATAATAATGATAAACTAGGACTGTACCAAGCTGCTGGGCCCTGGACTTCAATGACTTTTGAGAAGACCTGGAGGGAAAAGAAAAAGTACTAGATTATTAGACTAGACCAGCAAATCTACCAGCAATAAATAAGTAACACACTCCCCTTCTTTGAACCCTATTCTCCAGCAGCACCAAACTGCGAGGATGTTAGTAATGGAGCCCAGCTCTTCCATGCCTTGTGCCTTTGCTCACATGGTACCCTCTGCCTAGGATACCTTCCCCAGCACAGGGAGCACTCAACACAGCCCAAGAGTACCCCAGTCTTTAGGACCCCACCGTCTTTCTTCAACTGCTGTACCGTCGAGACCTTTCTTTGTACTGACTGGTTTTCTAGCCTCTTGTCTGCATCACAGAAGCTCCCACATCACTTTTAGGGCCCCAGTCACAGTGCACAGAGATTGGTGAATGCTGTCCTAGCCCCTGCCCCACAGAAATAACACAGAGGAAGAGGCATCACGCAGAACGCTGTGGCCTCCCTCTCTGCACATTGCATGGGTGCTTCCTTTGACTCCCACAACCCCCACTTCATTAAACTGAGGGTTCGATGATATAAGATTCCAGGATAGCTGGTTCCTTGGTCTGCAAAGTGAGCGAGCAGAAAGAAAATGCAGTTTCAGGATATGTGATCATGCAAAACACAATTGAGTCTCAGTCTCTTAATTTTGGCATTTATTTATTTGGGTTTTTGTTGTTTATTTACGAGATAAGATGAGATCTCCCTCTGTCACCCAGGCTGGGAATGCAGTGGCGTTATCATAGCTCACTGTAACCTTGTACTGCCGGGCGTACTGCCGGGCGTACTGCCGGGCTCAAGTGATCCTCCCACCTCAGCCTCTTAAAGTGCTGGGATTACAGGCATGAGCCACCGTGCCTGGCCAACTT